ACCCTGGGAGGGGTGTATATGAAGTTCAGATAGTAGATTCTTTCTGAAAGAAACCTTATGCTGTGTCTTCTCTTATCAGTCACCTCTCCTTTTCCTCCCAAGGGGTATTAAGCTAGCGAGTTGCCTTTGCCTCTTCTTATCTTATTCCTTCTTTTCTTCCTATAACAAATATACTGAATGCCTGCTATGTACTGGGGACATAAATAAATAAGCAAATTACTTTTACATGTGAAATATGGAGATACAGAGAATAAATGGGCCTTCACTAAAATGCCCATGCAACAAATACCAATCAAAAGTAATTTATGGTCATGATACTTTCAAAATCCTGTCTCTTCCATATTTTTTTTCCCACCACAGATTCATCAGGGCCATAGTATCCCAAAAAATCTAAGAAACTTTTAAGCGTTACACATATAAAAGTGGAAGCATTAACCTAAGACATGATTACTTAACTCAAAATACAAATGTCTCCTCACGGACCTTTCCTGTATTAAAGTATCAACATGCTTCCCAAAGTGGCAAATTATAATCCAAATTTTTGGGTAAGAAGCTTTCTGTTTCCCACCTTCAATAATTTAACAAAGAAGAAATCAAAGCCAAGACAGTAAGTGAGGGAGTTCCTCAAGACACATGGCTGCCCAATGGCAGAGACTGGATTAGAAAGAACTGAAGGTACTTGATATCCAACCCAGTGATTTGCTCATAAGAATAAGCTTCAAATTGTTATAATTTTTGCACATCTGGCTAAAAAAAGAAAAATCTCTAGAAATACGTTTTTAGCTATTACTCAGTGGATTCTTAATGAACAAACTATAACCAATGTGAATAAAAACTGAGGACATTTATTTATTTCACTTAGGAGTATATCCTCAATATGTATCCATTTTCCTACGAATAAATCTAATTTCTCATTCTTTATGGCTGAGTAATATTCCATTTTATAGAAAAACCGCATCTTCTTTATCCAGTTTCCAACTGATGGGCAAATGGGCTGTTTCCAAGTTTTAGCTATTACAAACTGTGCTACTATAAACATGGGTGTGCATACATCACTGTGATATGATTCTTTTAGTTCTTTTGGAAAGATACCCAGCAGAGGGATGGCTGGGTCAAATGTAACCTCTAGTCCCAGCTCTTTGAGGTTATCTCCATATTGATTTCCATAGTGGTTGTACCAGTCTGCACTCCCACCAACAATGAAAAAGGGTTTCTTTCTCGCCACAACCCTGCCAACATTTGTTATTGTTTGATTTATTGATAGCAGCCATTCTTTGTGGGGTGAGGTGGAATCTCAGTGTTGTTTTCATCTGCATCTCTCGAATGACCAGTGATGTGGAACATTTTTTCATATATTTACTTGCTCCTTTTACTTCTTTGTCTGAGAAATGTCTGTTCATTTTGGATGCCCATTTTTGAATCGAGTCTTTATATTTGGGGGGGCTGACTATTTTGAGTTCTTTATATATTCTAGATAATAGTCCTTTGTCTGAGGAGCAGCTGGTAAAAATTTTTTCCCACATTGTAGGCTGTCTCTTAGTTCTGTTGATGGTTTCTTTTGCAGTGCAGAAGTTTTTTAATAAGATGAGATCCCAGTTGTTGATTCTTTCTGCTAGTTCCTGTGCTGAGGATTTGTTCGTAAAAGTCTTTTCCTATGCCAATGTCTTTAAGAGTTCTGCCTAACTTATCTTCCAGCAAGTTTAGTGTTTCTGTTTTAATGTTTAGATCTTTCATCCACTTGGATTTTAATTTGAACAAGATCCCAACAATGAATGTAACTGTACTGTATCCTTAAAATGTACCAATAAACTTAAATTTAAAAAAAAGAAACCAAGACCTGTCATGTAAAAGTACAAGATCCCAGTAATGAATGTAACTGTACTGTCTACCTAGAATGTACCAATAAATTCAATTCAAATTAAAAAAAGGAAAGAAAAGAAAAAAAAAAACTGAGGTCATTCTAATAACTAAATGTGCATTACTAGCTTTTTTAAATTTAAGGGACATTAAAAATTGTTGTGACTGCTTCTATATCAGTGTTTTTAAAGTTCTAAAGTAAGCAAGCCAACAAACTTAAGAATTCAGAGAATTGGTTAACTGAAACAACACCAAATCCAAGTTCCAGAACATTCTGACAACTGACCAGCAAGTTCTATTTGAATGTCTTCAGGGATACATAGTACTTTCAGGCACGCACAGACCATCCCAGCTATCACACAGCTGAATTACTAGGTGTTTGCTATGATTTGACTGTATCTTCCAAAGTTCATATATCGGAAATTTAATCCCCAGTGCAACAGTGTTGAGAGGTGGGTATATGGGAAATGTTACGGCATGAAGGCTCTACCCTCACAAGTGGATTTATGCCCATTAGAAAAAGGCATGAGAAAAAAAAAAAAAAAAAAAAAAAAAAA